TGGCAACAAATCCCCCCTCAAAGGCCTCAACCGCAACACCACTCGCAACACCTCTCACAATAGCGACATCCACCACAACACCACTGGCAATGGTGGTAACACCCAATCCAAGGTCTCCGCATTAGTCCTGCTTAGACCTTTCCTGTTTATTACCCTAGGTTAACGTTTCAGCTTTTCTACAACACACATTTATTACTGTAAAATGTGCTGCATATTATGCCTGACACTGTTGTTCCTCTATATTATGTCTGAAACATGCATGCATGCATATTTATGATGAGCGCACAACAAAAATAAAGCATGTAAAAAAAAAAAATTACAAAAATATTGGGAGTAGGGTTGGTTATACACCGAGATATCATTGAGTTGGGGGAGGGTTTCATTCATGTACATCTCTTTAGAAAGAATTACTATCCTGGCACCTTTATATGCGGGCTTAATAACAATGGCTCGTCATTCTTTAGGTTTTCAATGTCTTCTTTTGCTTCTAGTTTGACTAGATTCAAAATTAGTAGAGGTAAGTATAAGCCCAGGTATTAGTAAGTTTTTGGTGTGTATATTGTTTGGACATTTTATTATTATTATTATTTTTATTGGTATTTATACAGCACCAGCATATTCCATAGTGATTTACAATATTTATGTATTTATAAAATAGTTTACCAAGATGGATACATTGAGATTTCTCTCATTTTCAAGTACGTCCTGGGTCCACAAAATATTGCATTGTTACAATAGGATACAATATTATAAAAATAATATACAAACATATATATATATATATATATATATACACACACACACACACACACACACACACTTTTTTTTCTATTTTGTTTTTATTTTGAAGTTTCAAAAGATGCATACAAATTTTTAACAATAATGTTTGAACATCAGGAAGACAATTGTGTTAGTACATCTTGTTTCGTTTCGACATGTAATTAAACATAGCTCATAAAGTTTCACTTTCATTATACAGCTGTACCTCAAGTTAATGTATCAATAATAATATTAACAGCACTTGTGTAGGGATATGGGTTGTGTGAACCCATGTATTGATTCTATTGTATGTTCCAATAGGATATTGGGGTCAGGTAGAGTTATGCAGATTTTGTGATAGTCATTTTGGTGTGTGTGTGGGGGTGGGGGGAGAAGGTTCTCTCTGGTGTTGTCAGTTTGTTCTCGTTGTTGTGAATTGAGTCCAAGGGTCCCAGATTTTAGAGAAATATTGGTAGTTCTAGGATTTGGCGAAAGTCACCCCCTCCATTTGTTTGATTTCTTCTATTCTGAGAATCCACTCTCTAATAGATAGTGCTTGTGTCTGCTTCCAGAATTTGGGAATTAGTTGTGTGGCTGCCATGACAGTTTGTTCTCTACGTAAGCCCAGGGGCGGTATTAGGAAGATAAAGTGTTGCAGTTCAAGTGGTAATTTAATGTCTATAATTAATTGGATGATGTTAAGACACTCCTGGCACAGAGGAGTGAAACCGCCGTTTAGTTGAGCTCCCCCTCTCTAGTAAGTCTAGTCAGGCTCAATTCGTGTAGCCCTCAAATGCACGAACTGAAGCCACTGGAATATGCAAATCTCCCGAACAGTATCTGTACAGACAGACATGTATCACTTTAGGCCATACAGTCACAGAATATTCCCACAATGTATCCTGGTTTCCTCCCCTCTGCCCTGGAGATAATTGAGAAGTAATTCAATTATCTCCCAGTGTAGAGGCAAATCGTCATTTTAAATGAAACATTAAAATTACATAAAAATAAATAATTGTACAAATACCGAATGTGACAGATTCATCTGTAAGACTAATATTGCTGGTTCGTCTGGTTTGCCTCCCCTTCGTGGAATTGCCTGTCCATATGCCCCTATTTGTCTGTTTGACTATTTACAGAATGAACTTACCGAACGGAAGGCCACCCAGAAGATAAGTGTGCTGCTGGTTAACCCCAGACACCTCTTAATTACAACCGAATGCCGGGTGGTCGTCGTTCGTATGTCAACCACGAGGCAGCGGCCATTTTAAGCCATGCGAAAGACCAGCGGTGTTCAGCGCAGATTCTTTTTCTGCTGAACACTGCTGAAACCACAGTCGACAAGGCATGCGAACACCGGCCGTTCGGGAGTTTGGATTATACGAATGAACTGAACCCAGATAGCCTTCCCATGGAGTCAATTGCATACCAAAAGACTGTAAAAGACTTTGACTCCATGGCTATTGAAATGTGCGTATGGGATCTGAGCGCTATTCGCTAAGAATATGCACTCAGATCCAAGCTATCTGGGGATGTGTTACATGAATATAATATGTTCGGTAGTTGTGTGATTATTAATTTTTATGTGTTTTGTCTGTATTATTTAAAATGGCGATTTGCCTCTGTCCTGGAGATAATTGAATTACTTCTCAATTATCTCCAGGGCAGAGGGGAGGAAACCAGGATGCATTGAGGGAATATTATGTGCCTGTATGTCTGAAAGTGCCATGTGTCTGTCTGCCTTTACAGTCTCCCATTTGGTCCCCTAGGGGAGTGTCCACCAAGTGGGAGACCTGCATAAATACGGACGGGTAGCCCACAGTAAACCCAGTTCATGTTTTACCCTCAATGCGGAGCTTGGTCTCGTTATTGGGGGGATTTACTACACACGGATAGCGACTGATTGATGGAAGTGTAAGCCGCTTGGAGGATATATTTATTCGTCTGTTAGCAGCGATTCGTGGGTTTACCGTTCAGGAGTTGGAGCACCCGTAGGGGTCCCATTCGGGAGATTGGCTCATTCCCCTGATTGCAGTTCGTACGTTTGGAGTCTATACGAATGGAGTTTGCATTATTGCAAAAGGGGAAGCTTTACTAAACGGCGATTTCACTCCTTGGTACCACGGGTGTCTTAACAATTGATGGCAAGCGACGGGATGAGTCTGACCGCCCAGAAGGTCAGCTACACAGCCCAGTTTGGTGGAGGAAATGCAGTATGAGGAATTAAGGCGTGCTTCCCTTAAAGAAATACTTGAACGCACACACACACACACACACACACACACATATATATATATATATACATACACACACTAAGAGAATGTCTTGTTGACATGTGTTATACATACATGCTTTTACCATCTGCAACATATTGATCAAGATGGCTCTAAATGTTTAAGTTAATTTGCTGGAATATAACCTTTATTATTGCACTGTGCCTTTAACATTAAAACATACCATTGTGTGCCTTGTCAAATTCCATGCCATGTATTTAGCTATACTGCTTCATACTTTAAAAAAATTCCACGTCATGTTTTACTAATGAAATTATGTATGTCATTTAGATACACGTGTTTTTATTTTATTTTTTTTATGAATTAATTGGTTGCAATGTTATTTATGCACATTTGCACTTTGTTATCCATATGGATGATTAAGGCTCCGCTAAGAAGAAAAGTCGCACTTTCTTGATACTTACCTATCAATAAATATACCAAGCTTACTATTGGAGTGTTGCCTGCGTTTATTCCTTTTGAAGACACTACTTTTGCATTCCATTGTAAGTTCTCACTATAGAGTGGCTCTGATGACCCCAAGAAAGGAAAAAGAGGAGAGAAGACTGCTTCACTCTCCCTTAGTTGCTTCATGATGGGGGCACCAAGAAGCTATAGCACAAACTATTTGTGGCAGAAAAGAACTCCAGTGCCAGTGAAAGTGGCAGCACATGTTACTGCAGCATGAAAAGTCTACTAAAAATACAATTGTCTCCTTGATGGTGAATCAAATGTAACAGCCATGCTGCTAATTCCACTATCCTTAACCCCTTAACTTCTGGAATAGAAGGGAATCATGACAGAATATTTCCGTCATATGTCCTTAATGGGTTAAGCTGAATAGCGCTTAGAGTGGAGGTCAGCAAGGAATTTTTCTATGAATATATTACATTTGTAGAAAAGTTTATTGACATGGAACTGTCATGTATATGGTTGAAAAACAAGTCTGATTCTTTATTGTTGGGAGAACTGTTTCCCCCAGGTGTACAGTAGTACAGAAATGATAATGCTTGGTTGTGGATAATATCCAACTTTCTTTTCAAAATGTTGAAACTGTCAGTTAGGTGGTAGCCTTATGTTGTTCTTGTTGAGAAAAATATGATAGTTTGACAAGACCATAGCAAATTTCAAATAGAGGCACCATGCTCATAAGCTGAACCACAGTGAGGAACCAGGATGAGTTGGAGGACAGCTAAGAATCCAGTATCCCTGTAAGGACCAGGAAATATGTAGCTCAGTGGAGGTGAATGTATCAGAGGGGAATCCTAGAAAACAGTTAATACATCAGAGGGGAAGATAGACACAAAGATCCAATAACCCGTTAAGGACTGAGCCAAATGAACACGTGAACGAAACAAAATTTAAACAAAAGAGGGGCAAGAATCCCAGAAACACCGGGAGTAAATTCCCTCAGGACTAGTACCCCCTATAGAGCAATAAATTGGATTTGCCCACTAGTCGTGTATAGAAAAAATAATAAAGATTTATTGAAAAAAGATTAAAAATCCCATAAATAGTGTGCTATAATACACCAGACTGCTATAAACTAGGAATAAAGGGAATCAGCTAGAGTGCACATAACTATATAATACATTTGGATATTTAGTTGCACAAAATCCAGTAGAAAAGTAGTAAGCACATAAGCTACTTCAGATTAGCAACAGTATCGATGTAGTGACACATGTAAATATAGTAGACACCAGCTAAAAGCTGCATTCGAATTCCTACACAAAACGACTAGAATGTCCTAAATCGTACAAATTTGAAACCGAAAAGTAGATATACACCGAACTTTGCGGGCTTCCGGAATATCGAATTATTCTTGGAAGCAGCAAAGAACGAAATTGAAAAAATTAATGTCAAATCCTTTGATTATCACTCAAATAATAATCTAAATAAAAAGGAGAGGCTTGCTCTGAATTCACTTAAGGCAAACACCTGTATTATTATTAAGCCAGCTGACAAGGGGGGCAATGTAGTAATCCTTGATACATGTAAATATATAGGGATGGTGGAACGTACCCTGAGTGATGAACAGACATATAGGATCCTGAAATTTGACCCTACCAATGACTATCTGGGAAAATATAAGGAAATTTTGGACGAAGGCCGCAGTGGAGGGTTGCTACCGGGTGACGAGTATGAATTTGTTCTTAATCGTCAGCCCAAGATAGCAACCTTCTACTGCCTGCCGAAAATCCATAAAAATTTACAGGACCCTCCAGGGCGACCTATAGTCTCTGGGATTGATAATCTTACGCAGAATGGTAGCCTGTACGTGGATAAAATTTTGAGACCTTTGGTAGAGACTTTGCCATCATACATAAGAGATACTAAACAAGCTTTGAATCTACTTTCTAAACTTAAGCTATCCTCAAGTGCAAACCTTTGTAGTTTGGATGTTGAATCACTCTATTCATCTATCCCCCATAATAGGGGTCTTGAACATGTAAGATTCTTCCTAAATCAAAGGACACATAGAGATGATCTTCATGCAGATTTTGTGGTACGCCTTTTAGAATTTATTCTATCACATAATTATTTCCTGTTTAATACGAAGTTCTATCACCAGGTGAGGGGGACCGCGATGGGGACAGCCTGTGCCCCTTCATATGCAAACCTCCACCTGGGGTGGTGGGAAAAAGACATCTTTTCCTCAGAAATTCTGAGGGATTATCTCTCGAAGATCCTATGGTGGGGACGCTATATCGATGATATTCTATTGGTATGGCAAGGGTCCACACAGGATTTTGTAGAGTTAGTGGAATGTCTAAATCAGAATACGGAGAACCTCAGATTCACTTCGGAATTTGGGGGACGTTCAATAAATTTTCTAGACATCACGATTTCCATCAATGAGGACGGAACACTTCAATCCACCTTATACAGAAAACCGACCGCTACAAACTCCCTGCTCCATTGGAATAGCTATCATCCAAGGCCTCTTAAGGCGGGGATTCCGGTTGGCCAATATCTTCGCCTTCGGAGAAACTGTAGTGATTTAGCAGATTTCAAAATAAAGGCAAACCAACTTCGTTTATATTTTAAGGAGAAAGGCTACCCTAATCGCTGTCTTAAAAAAGCTTACAAGAGAGCACTTGAAACTGACAGAAAAGAACTTCTTAGTGACCATCCCGAGAACAAAATCTCGAAAAATACAGGCGACATCCGGATGATCGCCACATATGATACGGGATGGTCTGAAGTAAGAAAGTGCTTGAATAGATTCTGGCCGATCCTTTTGAATGATGCACATTTGAAAGAGGTCTTAGGCCCATGTATTAATATTACGGCCAGAAGGGGTCGTAATGTTCGTGACCTATTAGTACCAAGCCATCTATCGATAAAACCACAGCCACGGGACACATGGTTGGGTAATCCTCCATGTGGTTCCTATGGCTGTGGTAGATGTGTAGCTTATAAATACATCGCTAAAGAATCCAAATCAGTGAATGATAGTACTGGTCAAGTCTCTATCAAGATAAAAAACTTTTTTAATTGCAACACGAAGGGCCTGGTGTATCTCTTGTCCTGTTCGTGTGGACAAAAGTACGTAGGCAAGACTTTTAGAGCTTTCAAAGAAAGAATTATGGAACATGTAAGGTCCCCTAAGAATCACCTTGAAACACCAATTTCAAGACACCTTAAAGAATACCATCGAAGTGATTCTAGTAACTTGAAGTTCTGTGGCCTTGAATGGGTTAAGAGACATCCGAGGCGAGGGAACTATGATCGTCTATTGAGACAGAGAGAATCTAGATGGATCTATAGACTCAAGACTTTACAACCTTTGGGTCTAAATGAGTGTTTCTCGTTTGCTCCGTTTATTTGATCTGTTATGTTGGAGATATATAAATGTATATATACATTTGTATAAAGTCTCGCGAGCTATATCTGGGCTACATCACACTTTTATTAATAATTCTCCTTTCGATTTATAAGGATTTATTTGACCATTATTGACTGATCATATGGGTGATCCAATTCTGGGTATATGCCCTAATATCAGTGAATATAACTCGGATCTGGAAGAATTGACTCTGCCGGTAATTTACTACTGGATATGCTATCTAATATTTATAAATACAGTTTTGATCTGGATTAATATTTGTAGGGTTTATATATTTATTTTTCTCCCCCTTTTTTTTTTCCAGTTTTCAGAATATCTGTAACTTTAAATGGACATGCCAATCTTTTAGGAATTGTTAGTATTACTATTATTTTTTGTATTATTGTTTATTTTTTTAATTTATCCCCCTTTTTTCCTCTCCACAATAGAGTCCTAATTTTCCTTTATTTTCATCTTCTCTATGATACTGTTTCATGTTTTCTAAACATTATGTATATATATATATATATATTTCTGGCTACTTATCCTTACACTGTGTTATTTTATACTTAACTTTAAGAAATATATGACCTTGAATGGAACTAAGGTATCATAGTGTGTCTAAATTGTATCTTTCTATGTGAGGATCTGCACATGCGCGTTTTTCTGGCAAAACGCCAGCCTCAGCGCATGTGCAATAGCCTCCAGAGGACTTTTGGCATATTAGGGACTCCGTCGACGCCGGCTAAATGTGTGCGCATGCGTTCTTACTTTGACCGAGTATTGGCCTTAGACGCATGCGCTTTCTGCCGGATCCTATATGTGTGGGTCTACCTCTATTGGCAAGGCACTTGGGCACTCTGGAACCCCTTTTCCCACCCCCCCTCCTTCCTCGGACGAAAATAGGTGGGCGTGTCAAAACGAAGACCAAGCCCCCCTATGACGGGCGGGCATGTTTTGGCACCAAATGTAAGTGCATATAAGGGAGAGGACTAAGGGAGGATATTTGCACACTATCATACCCTTGAGAAAGGCGGACATTACCGCCGAAACGCGCGTTGGGCTCCTGCTATATGTGGTGGGGGGGTGTACTTGGGCAATTAGCCTGTTTTCATCGGTTGAATTACAGTTCAGGGTCATTTGACCTATTGAACATCTTCTATTGCCTCCCCACTTTATTCTTCATTCTCTCCACTGATATCTTTCTGTCCTTTCGATTTACTTACTTTGATAAAGATACTTGAAGCCATTGTGGCCAAGATATACCTATCTATATATATCTATACATTTTATACTTAATCTGGATATCTAATAGTGAAGAGTATAGTCGTTTTGTGTAGGAATTCGAATGCAGCTTTTAGCTGGTGTCTACTATATTTACATGTGTCACTACATGGATACTGTTGCTAATCTGAAGTAGCTTATGTGCTTACTACATTTCTACTGGATTTTGTGCAACTAAATATCCAAATGTATTATATAGTTATGTGCACTCTAGCTGATTCCCTTTATTCCTAGTTTATAGCAGTCTGGTGTATTATAGCACACTATTTATGGGATTTTTAATCTTTTTGCAATAAATCTTTATTATTTTTTCTATACACGACTAGTGGGCAAATCCAATTTATTGCTCTATAGGGGGTACTAGTCCTGAGGGGATTTACTCCCGGTGTTTCTGGGATTCTTGCCCCTCTTTTTCTTTGTATATTTGTCAATATAAGGGTTAGGCCCTTTTTAGTACCCCAGTAATCCATTTCTTTGTATTCTTTTTCTGGAATTTTCCAGCTAAAAGTGCAGTGTGTTTGAAAATTTAAACAAAACCTGGCATTTGCGCTACATGTCTGTCCAATCGTAATTCACCTCTTTCATATTAAATGCACCCACCCTTATTATATATCATTTTATTCAGGGGAAACAGGGCTTTCATTTAATATCAAATATTTAGCTATGAAACATAATTTAATATGAAAAAAATGGGAGAAAATAAGATTTTTTTTTATTTTTTTAGTTCTACATGACATTTTAACTGTCAATGTCATAATACTGTTTGCTTTTACTGCAATAAAATACACATATTTGTATTCAGCAAAGTCTCACGTGTAAAACAGTACCCCCTATGTACAGGTTTTATGGCATTTTGGGAAATTACAGGGTCAAATATAGCACGTTACATTTGAAATTGAAATTCGCCAGATTGGTTACGTTGCCTTTGGGACTTTATAGTAGCCCAGGAATTAAATTTACACCCATAATGGCATACCATTTGCAATAGTAGACAACCCAAGGTATTGCAAATGGGGTATGTCCAGTCTTTTTTAGTAGCCATTTGGTCACAAACACTGGCCAAAGTTAGCGTTAGTATTTGTTTGTGTGAAAAATGCAAAAAACGCCAATTTTGGCCAGTGTTTGTGACTAAGTGGCTACTAAAAAAGACTGGACATACCCCGTTTGCAATACCTTGGGTTGTCTACTATTGCAAATGGTATGCCATCATAGGGGTAATTTTCATTCTTGGGCTACCATAGGGTCTCAAAGGCACCGTAACCAATTTGGCAAATTCTAATGTAAAAAAATACTGAAACGCAAGCCTTGTATTTGACTCTGTAACTTTTGAAAATACCATAAAACCTGTACATGAGGGGTACTGTTGAGACCTCGCTGAACACAAATATTAGTGTTCTAAAAACAGTAAAACATATCACAACAATTATATTGTCCGTGTAAGTGCCATTTGAGTGTGAAAAATTCAAAAAATGTCCCTTTCACTGACGATATCATCGTTGTAATACATTTTACTGTTTTGAAACACTAATATTTGTGTTCAGCGAAGTCTCCAGAGTAGAACAGTACCCACCATGTACAGGTTTTATGGGGTCTTGGAAAGTTATAGGGTTAAATATAGTGCTAGCAAATTAAATTCCCTTTACTTTCGGCATGGGTTGTCAGGCAGGTCCCGCTAATTGTAATTAATTAACCCCTTCAGACCGGAGGGCGTACAATTATGTCCTATTTTAAGCGGCTCTATACGCCGCCGGGCGTAATTGTACGCCCTCCAGTTTTTGTTTACTTACTCCCAGGAAGCCCCCCCGCAGCAGATCCTCCTCCTCCGGTGCCCCCCGGCCATGTGAGAGTGAGGTCCTTGCGAGGACCTCACAATCACATGGCCGGGATAGCTGGCTTCTGTATTGCCAGCAGGGGGCTGCCTGTAATTACAGGTGGTCCCCCTGCTGGCTAGAAATAAAATTAAAATAAAATTTATAAGTGTAAAAAAAAAAAAGGAAAAATATATACTTAGATCATATATATATATATATATATATATATATATATACACACACACACACACACACACAAATATACATACACACACGTACACTGTCTAGGTGTATTTTACTATTAATATATATATTAATATCAAATTACACGTAGACTGATACTGAATATATATAATTATTGTTATATATATATTTATATATAATATAAAAAATTAAATATGTAAATATGTTTAAAAATAAAATTTAAAAATTTAAAAAAAATAATTAAAAATTATATAGATGTGTGTTATTTCATTCTAACTGTATTGTGATATTAATATATATATTTATATCAAAATACATGTAGAACAAAATAATATATATATCTACATACATAAATATATACATATATATCACTATATATATACCTATATATAAAGAAAAATATTTTAAAAAAATTATATACACATATAGATTCACACATATATATATATATATATACACATACATATTAATTCTACATATATATTTATGTAATATTTTTGCATAATTAGGTATCTTAACCCCTTAAGGACTGAGCCAAATGTACATGTTGTGATCAAAACAAAATGTAAACAAAACCTGGAATTTTACTATACGTCTGTTCAACCGTAATTCACCTCTTTCATACTAAGTGCACTCACACTTAATATATATATATAATTTTATTCAGGAGAAATGGGGCTTTCATTTAACATCAAATATTTAGGTATGAAACATTATTTAATTTGAATAAAATATTTAAAAATGGGATAAAATATTTTTTTTTGTATTTTTTTTAGTTCTGCATAACATTTTAACTGTGAATGTCATAATACTGTTTGCATTTACTGCAATAAAATACACATGTTTGTATTCAGCAATATCTCACGTGTAAAACAGTACCCCCCTACATACAGGTTTTATGGTGTTTTGGGAAGTTCCAGGATAAAATCTTGCATGCTACATTTTTCAGTTTTTCACTTTGAAATTCACCAGATTGGTTACGTTGCCTTTGAGACCGTATGGTATTCCAGGAATGAGAATTACATATATGATGGCATACCATTTGCAATAGTAGACAACCCAAGGTATTGTAAATGGAGTATGTCCAGTCTTTTTTAGTAGCCACTTGGTCACAAAAACTGGCCAAAGTTAATGTTAAAAAACAAATTTGAACACCAATTGTGGCCAGTGTTTGTGACGAAGTGGCTACTAAAAAAAGACTGGACATATCCATTTGCAATACTTTGCATTGTCCTGTGCTACCATACGGTCTCAAAGAAAACTTTACCAATCTGTGGAATTTCAATGTAAAAAAATACTGAAACGCAAGCCTTGTATTTGACTCTGTAACTTTTGAAAATACCATAAAACCTGTACATGAGGGGTACTGTTGAGACCTCGCTGA